TTCTCCCTGAAGAAGTTCCTTGCATTATTGAGTCACTACAGTGACAGCTCAAGCACTCAACATTTCCCCTCAGTTTGGGGGTTAAACTAACACAGTGTTAACTTCTTTTCATTATCTCTCCTGACTGAGTCAATGGCCAATTTCTGGGTGCTGCTTTGACTTAAACCTCCCTCTACACGTAGGCTAGTTACTTAGTTTTTGTTCAGCAATATATTTTATGGTTCTCTCTTAAAAATTCCCCCAAATTCTCTCTCTCTCTCTCTCTCTCTCTCTCTCTGTGTGTGTGTGTGTGTGTGTGTGTGTAGTATAGACCTAAGAGTGTAAGAGTGTGACCTGTGTGAAGAAAACATTTCTTTTGCATTGAAAGACTACAATCAAAGCTGGTTTTCCACAGATAAAGAAGTTAGAGATTTTACTCCTTGTCAAAGTTTGGATGTCTGTTTTTTAAAAGACAGAATTCCTCTAAAAATAGTTAATATACTATGCATGATGTACTTTTTGTAAAGCATAATAAGTACCTAGAATGTTCATAATTCAATTAGGTAAAACATTACAACAACCAAACCTATAAAATGCCGCACTATTATGGAAGGGTAGTGGAAGTAAAATAAAAGGCTCAGTACTCAGACTGGAGAGAGCTGAAAGCCAAGGACTGAAGAGGCACTGGGAGCAGATCCACACAGTGGTTGGGAAAGTTAAAGAGTGTGAGGTGGGCCTGGCAGTGGGGCTCCTTGGGTAGGGAGTCGGAAAGGATATAGAGAACATAGGATCTTGAGGACCAAAAAGAAAATTAACTTTCTGAGAATCCACAATGGGGAACTTCAAGTCCGCACAGCCCAACTGTATTATTGGGGTGGACTCTCTTAGCCAAACTGCTGTTAAGTTCTGGCCCTTCTTAGAATAAAAATCAATACTGGCATGGCTGATCTATGAGGTCCTTTGCACCAGAACTAGTGTTACTAGACATTCCATTTTGCTGATTAAAATTAATTCATTAAACAATCCTCTCAGGCAATTTTCACACATGCACTTTCTTTTAAAATCATTTCATGTTACTATGAAAAGCGGTTTGCACTAAACTGCAATGGATGTGCACGTGGTCCTGTGTGTTTTTAAAAAAAACACGGACTGTTCAATTAATCTAGTCATGATATTAGATCGAAAAAAAATCCTTCCAGGATCCTTATCATTAGTGTGGAGTATTTGTTCTTTGAATTTCGTCTTGTTTTTAGGATCACCTTATTATGCAACATCTGCTCTGAATTTCAAATGTGATAAACAGAGTATGAGTGTCGGTGGCAGATGGCTAATGACCAGCAGCGACAGGGCATTCAAGCCTGCCTTGTTTTCTGAGAAGCGATATTTTCATGTTAATTTGCTCTGTGTCCTGCAAAGATGAGACAAATCACCTGCTCATAATTCAGGCAAAGTGGAGACCACCAGGAGCTGAGAGGGGCCATGGTTTGATTCCTTTAGGGGTGAGAGAGAAGGAAGGCTTTGGGAGACTTTCCTCATCTATGGTAAGGGAGACCAGTCAGTCATTTTGCATTATGTCAAATTGAGAAAGATGAACCAGTCCTGGGCATCCCATACTGACACCAGATCCACTGTTTACTGCAAGCAGATATTATGCATGAAAACAGATATTTCCCAGAGGCAGAAAACAGGTGCTATTAAGAGTGTGTGTCAGTCTCTGAAGTCTGGGTTTTGTAAAATAAACCTAATAGTACATTTTATCTCTTACTGAAAATATTACAATCAACAGAAATCGCCAAGAAATATTCAATTGAAGATAAAATGAAATCTAATTCACAGAGAAAATGACTCACACAGATACATAAACCTTGAGCTTTTTTGGCCTTCTCAAGCCCTATAGAATTCATTTATCATAGAGATACATAAATAAAATATAATTTTTATTCCAAGATTGAGTCATCCAAAGAGGCCATATGGTCTTGAGCTAAAAGAACAGTCTTAATTTGGAGAGGTGGCTGATGTCCTTAGTGACCTTTCAGTGCCTCAAATTTCTACTGTGAGATTATATTGTCAATTTCATCAGACTTGTTACATGTACAGAATGTCCAAAGAATGACTGTAGGTTCTCAAAGAGTTGGTAAGACAGTTGAGAAGCCAAGTTATACACTAGGAAAGATAACGCACTATATAGGCGACCCAGGCACCAAGTGAATCATTTGGTAAAAGATGACCTTACACTCTGAAGATCACAACACAGAAGATTTTAAACAGGAATCTTTCCCTATAAGTATCCTGCTATATAGTTCTTTTTCTGGGTTGCAGTTACAAATGACTAATGAACAAAGAGAGGGAGTCTATTTATAATTTTTTCCTATCTTCTCTCAAAGGGCAGATAAAGATGTAAAAGAGAAAAAGATAACAATTTGGAAGCCATTTTTTTCCTTCTCATAAAGTCTCCATAAATGAAAAGGGCTATATAAGCATAGATACTCTACATTTATCATGAACACTGAAATAAAAACTCAAGTAATTATTATGTCAATCACTGCTTCTGAAGTTTAAGTGTGAAAATCAGTGTTAAATCTCAAATAAAAATTTGAAATTTCCTCTATAATTAAGCAGATTCAAAAATAATGTTCTGATTTAGAAAGAGGAAAACTAGATATGGCAATAGTAAGCCTGTGAGGCAAACTGTTGACTTACAACAGTCTAAAAGCTTCTTTAAACAAATGTCATCATTAACATGAATGGATGTACCTTCGGACAGTTATATGTAAAAGGCTGAAACTAGAATAGTACCTCATACCATACTAAAAAATTAACTAAAAATGGATTTAGGATTTAGATGGAAGGCCTGAAACCATAAAATACATGGAAGAAAACATTGGCAAAACATTCCTCAACACTGGATGCACTGATCTTTGGGAACTTGACTGTAATGGCAAGGGAAATCAAAGCAAAATAAGCAAATGGGACTGTATCAAACCAAAAAATTTCTATGCAGGGAAAGAAATTATCACTGAAACAGACACCCTACTGAATGAGAGGAAAAATTTGCACATCATACATCCAACAAGGGGCTACTGTGCAAGATCTTCAAAAATTTCATACAATTCTACAAAAAGAAAAGAACCCAATCAAAATAAGGGCAGTGGAGCTAAATAACTACTTCTCCAAAATGTATAGGATATTATGGGTGCTTTGGTGGTAAGCATGGTGTGGAAGTATCCATCTGAAGAGGTCTGAACCTATAGTGCTAAATCATATACAGTGTCATAAATCAGCATTACCTCAATAAAAACACAATTAAAAAAAAGACTGAAGAATGTGATGAAAACCTCAAGATGAAGTATGAATGAGATGAAGATGTGTGTTTGTGTATGTGTGTTTAGAGTTAGGTATATTTAAAAATTTTTGGAAGACTACCTATGATTTTATTTTATTCTCATGAGTCTTTCAATGACAATTTCAGTGCAGGCCTACACCCTTCACTTACTTTATCTAAGTCTGACGTGAGCACCATGCAATAATTACAGGATTTCCTCAATGAGTTCACTCAACGATCAACCTTCACAAATACTTAGATCTTCAGGGGTGGTTTTCCGCCTTTTTTATTTTTTAAAAACAAATGGTCATTAAATGCATTTGAAAAACTGTTATGTCATACATGTAAGCAGGGAAAATAAGTCTATCATAGGCTCATTTCTAACACATTGATGAAAATGGCCCTGAACAAGATTTTACCCTGATGTCTATTTAGAGACCAGGGTACACCCCAGTTTCATTCAAGCATAGCTCACCTAATGTAATTTAGGTTCTGATGTGCAACAGAATATACTGAATTTAAGAGAGCCATTATTAGGTAACTGCCACAGAAAACACTGGAAGGGACAGGTGGTTGAGGAAAATTTGTTTAGCCTGAATGATTCCATGAGACCTTTATTGATTTTCTTTTATCTTCATGTTAAGCTACAGTTATCATTATTTTACGACATGGCATGTTCTAATATTGAAAGTTTTCAATAATATCTATGATTTTGAAGAATATTTAAGAAAGTGGCTTCGGTGTCATAATGGAAAAAAAAAATCAATTACAGATTGAGCACAAATTATTTTCAGCTATAAATGAGCTATTTAAAATGATGCTGAATTCTGTAATTCACTTCTAAACAATGAATGATAAGGAGTCTGTTTAAGTCACCTTCATGAAGACCTGCACAAGAAGTGCATAAATCTAAAAGATCTACTGGGAAGTTCAATTAAGCAGAATGCAAGTAAAGAACTACAAGTCAATACACAGCATCTATCTTGCTGGCCTCCAAGGTGTCTTAAGTCATCTTTGAATTCCGAGAGATTAGAATGGTACCAGGCATTTAGGCTTTCTATAAATGTTTGTGAATGAGAAAAAAATGAAGAGTGTAACAACCAGTGTTTCAAATTTACATAGCACAGCTATGTTACGGAATCAGCATATAATTAATATATTATTCAATGTGCACATGAACAATGTTTTACATCATGTACTTCTGAGTCTATGAACCATCAGAAAAAGACTGAACTATATTCACATCACTAAATTTTCTAAGATTAGGGCCAGATAATGTACAAGGAAATATTTTTCTATCTTTTTCTAACATTTTAAAATACGTTCTTTTATTTCTAATTGTTCTATAACTATTTAATTTTTATTAACTCATTATTTTAATAATAACATTAGGACCCTCTCCATCAGGCATGGCCATTGTAGGGTACCTGCCACCAAATCACCTGTAGTCCAAATCACCATATTTTTCAATAACTTTAATATGTTATGTATTACAAATACAGGGTTTTTTCAATAAGCTAAAACTAATAAACTGGACTATATCCCAATTTTTTAAACAGCCCACTATGTTACATTAGATATATTTACATAGACAGTTTCCAAAACTCTAATTCTGTCAATTTTCATAAGGAAAAAATGCTATTTCTTAATAGACTATAGTAATGTGACTTTAATTAGACAGAAGGATGATTCTCAGTACCTTTATGGTTTCAGTGGGCACTCCAGGCTCTGGAACTTTATCCAAATAAGTGGTCAAGTCTTGATCAACATGTTCAAACACTAATGTTAGTTTGGTCTCTCTGTCTGTGCGTGACACTGTGCACACATCAAACAACCTAGAAGAAAAAAGGAGATACTAAGTAGGAGTCAATAAGCAAAGAAGTAACCTGTCTCACACACATCCCTCAATTTGATGTCATCATCATCAAAAGGTCAGTGCTGATATCTGTGTGATAATATATAAGATACCTAAGGGCATCTGATATTCTATTTTTAATATAAAAGCTAAGGAGCAGAGCACTCAAAGAACCTGGTTAAGTGTCGATGACCCAACAGTAGCAGAGAAAAAGTCACATGACAACAGCACAAGAAATGATCATTTGGCGTTTGGAGTTAATCCTTTACACAGATCTTGAGGGTGGAGACAGTTTTAAAAAAGGACAGCAGAGGAAATATAGGGTTCATGTTAGCTAACAGTTTGAGAGTTATTAAAGGACACATTAAGTATTTTTGGAGATACTGGACCCTGCAATGAAGGTTTTCTGAGAATTTAAGGTGTTGCCTGTGAATAAAGTAATGATGGAACATGAAGAAATTTAGTTCATTTCTAAGAGTGCCCTCTCATCCTATTAAATCCAATCATTCCTTGGAAAGGCCATAAATTCTTAAGTTTTAAAATTCTAAAATTCAAATAATGAAAACTGAATTTTTAACCTTGTATGTGGGGAGGGGATAAAAATTGGTAAACTTTACCATTCTTAGAAGAATTAGATGAGCAGACTTATAAGTAAATTTAAATTGGTGGATTCAGTTTTTCATAAAATTCTACAACTAATTCAAAATTTAAGTTTTAGAAACAAAGCCTCCAGTAGTCAAATGAATTTTCAAGCAAAAGGACATATGGCACAAGAGATGTTCACCAAACATTTGAAAAATTAAATAAACCACTCATAAAGAAGATGCAAGTAAATGTCTGAACAAGATTGTAATATAAATACTAATAAAGGCTAATAAAATGTGATTCATATTGCTTTCTTTCACTTTAAAAAACTTATTAACATTCAAAGAAACTCAGTGTGTAAACACTCAATCACTAGCTTACAGGGTTACCTCTCAGTTATCCTTCTGTATATTACTGCTGCTAAATTTTTAAAGCCTAGCTGGTTCATTGTGCCACCCTCTATTGCATTTCTGGACTATATGGGCTTTACAACATTGGGAAGTCTCTGCGAATCTACACTAAATTTTATATTTTATTTTTTTTAAAGATTTATTTATTTTTATACAAGAACCGGGGTAGAGGCCAGATGCACAGGAAGATGAGAGGATTCATCAGAGACAGAGTGGGGAACAGAATAGGCAGACTGAAGAAGTATACTGCTGAGGGGCGCAGTGGGCGAGACAGGAGAGGTGTGCTTTGCCATGTGGGATTCTCAACGGCTGGCTGGGATCCAACCCGCGGGTTCAATTCCTGGCCAGTCAGGGAGCTACCCACGTGGTGTGGCAGGCCTCTCCTGCCTCTCCCGCTGCCTCCCTCAGCAGTGTATTTCAGTCAGTCTGCCTGTTCTGTTTCCTGCTCTGTCTCTGGTGAATCCTCTCATGCTCCTGCACGTCTGAACTGTACCCCAGCTCTGGTATAAATAAATAAATCTTAAAAAAAAAAAAAGAAATTAAAGAACACTACAATTAAATCTGGGAGGTAGGGAATGAACACCACCACCACCAGCCACCACACACACTTCACAGCCAACTCTAAACTACTTTTTAATTATGGGCAGTTTGGGGTGAGTTCTAAAACTCTATTAAAATTAATTAAGACCTCTCCTGACTCACCTGTTGCTCCCCTCAGCAGTGTACTTCAGTCAATCTGCCTGTTCTGTTCCCCACTCTGTCTATGGTGAATCCTCTTACCCCACGCACCTCTGGACTGTATCCCAGCTCTTGTATGCATAAATAAATAAATCTTTTTTAAAAAATCAATTAAGAGCCAGTGATTTTTTTTCACATTTATCTACTTCCAAATATTGATTTCTAAGTTTTAATGACCTACTTCCAAATTTAAGTTTTGCTAAATTCTAATGTGATTTTAGGAGAAAGTTACTATTACCAGAAAAATTATTCTGATAAAATAAAAAAACTCCTAATTAATAAATTAATGAAAGACAATGCCATAAATCATGTAAGTGTGATACTATGAAAAATATAATTGCTATCATGCATGAATTTGAAACTAGGAAAGTTTATAAAAACGTTCTCAATTTGTCAATTTGAGATAACTACCATTTATTCACAGGTTCATTTTAACCATCTACTTTCATTAAATCTCATACTTTGACAGCTGTATTTTTTTCTTCCTTTTATAGAAGAAAAAGGGATTCCACAATTACCAAACTTCTTTGTAGCTGTTATTTCTACTTTGTAATAAAATAAAACAGCAATGATCCAAAAATCACATATAAACATGGGAACCGTACCATTATAGTTATTTCTTAAAATTCCTTTAAAAATGTTCTCCACTATAATTAACAGATTTCCTTAACTTAAAAAATGCATTGTTTATCCCTGCCGCAGATCAATGACTTTAGTAATTCTAGTGCTCATTGTACTTACAGTTTATAATATATAAAACATTTTAGTAATTTCCAAGAGGAAAAAGATTTTTGACAGGGTCATAGCTGGAGAATGAAATGACCACAAATACTTACAAACCAAAAGGTCACCTGCTCCCGAACCGTTGTTAGTTACCTAACAGCCCCAGCTGTCAACTATGTTGCTTCATCTCACTGAACCGTTTTCAAACACTTCGTATGACACAATTCAAGATTAACATTCAACACACCCAAGTTATTTTCCTGAAAGTTGTATCACTCTCTTCAAAATGTTAAGACTCACTGATGCTACCTGCAGCAACTGGACTCATACACAGGCGATGTGCAAAGGTGAGTGTCCTTCAGACACTGGTTAGAGTCCCCAAGTGATAAAGCCATGAAGAAAAGGTACTCATTTTAATTGGTGACTTTTAAAAAGTGACACTGATTCCAGGAGATAATCCTTTTTACTTTATTTAAGTTGTCGTTATTAACTTCATTTGAGGAATGGATAGTGTTACATTTCCCTTATAAGTTCAAAAGATACATCAAAGGAAATGGAAGTCTAGGAGGCCCTTATAATACCCCCATCTTGTCTCTAGTGCCGGTCACATATGCTATCAACAACATGCTATATAGACTCAGTGGTCCACAGAAGTCATTTTGGGGAATACAGATCCACAGTAAAATATGACATGTTGTTTGATTTAATTGTTTTGTAAACATTATCATAGTAAAATTAAGTTTTATTAGTCATAATGAGTAGGAAATGCATTTTGAATCAACAGTCATAAATATTAATCTTAGGAACTATAGAACATAATATTTATGATGTTTTTGTCTACAGTAATTCCCTCTGGAATTAACCCAAATCAAATAATAGTCACTTTGGTGGGCAATAAAAAGAAGACAGATGTTTTACTATAACAAATAAATCTCACACATAAAGCAACTCAACTAAACAAGAACTGAAATCCCTGGTATTTGGCAGGAGGTTAACGATCCGTAATAAATTTATTTAAATCAACGAGGAATGTGGCCAGGCTACCTATAACCCCTCCACTTGCAAAACAAGAGTCAGACAGGTCTGAACATTTGATCATAAACACTGGAAAATAACTTCAACTGTACGATTCCTGTGTTAACCAACATCTAAAGATGAAGGGTTTTTTTGGCTAGCTAGTAAAATGACTAAACAGCCTTCTCAATGATTGTATGACTACAGTTCCACAAGAGAATTACAGTCATGCTATGTTAATATGAACAAACTATCTCAGATGATTTTAGAGGAAATGAAAACTACCGTTCAGTTTTTATCCATTAGGGCTTAGCTTAATGTGATCCAAGTAAATGTTCAAAAAGTAGAAGTGAAAAGTGGTTCTCAGCATTTGCTAAGTTTGTGAATCCAGTTTAGCTGTGCAAAGAGCAAGCCAAAAAAAGGCAGATAGGTCATTACTGTTTCACAATTTAGTCAGCCGAGCCCCTAACTATCCCATAAAGTAAGTTTTCTTGCTGTCTCTATTGTCCTGACCCCCAGCTGCAGGGCAGAGAGCAAGCACTGCGGTCCAGCACAGCACTCAGCTTTCCAGCTGTCCCAGTGATGTAATTATTTCATAACAAAATATCTCCGTGAATTAACTCTGCATCCTACCCATTGTAATTCTTAATGACTGCTTCCTGTCCATGTTCTCCATTTAACTTGCTATTCTGGATCTATTGCATAGGCAAGTTGCCTTCATCTAATGGATGGGATTACATCCAGTAGATTTGGGATTTCCAAAGATTAAAATTTACAAAGGTCTCCCAAACAACATGCTTTGTAAACACAAGCCCTGCCTTTCTATTGTGGTTATAATAAAAGGGAAATCTGCATTCTTTGCTGTGATTAAACTCTGACCTGTCACAGGAAGTTCTATGAGCATTTTTTTCCTACCACTTTTTTTTTTTTTTTTTTTTTCATACTCTTGACTGTTTGGACACCAAATAGTTCAAGAGCTGAGAGATGTCTGGCATTACTGCCTAAGGGCGCTAAACAAAATTTTATTTGAACTATAGCCAGTCTTTGGAATCAAGATTTTTTCCTCCCAAATCTTTAATCTCTTCCTCTATAGTCCACAAAATACATACTGTGGCAATAGTTTGCATGCATCACATTTATGTCCACACATCCCTATACCAGCTCTACACCACTGGATACTGGCCAGCATATTTCTTTGTGCTCATTAAAAATGGACCCTATGTGTATTTATTGTCAACCAACACCAAAGAATATTTATAAAGAAGTATTTGCCCCCAACAATGAGTATGCTGCAAGAAGGAAATTACCATTTTAGCAGTACCCATAAACATTTATTAATACCTACCATATGTAGGCACTGTACTCAATTTGAGAGACCCCAAAAGATCTAAGACAGGTACTGTTTTTAAGAGCTGCACTATCCAATTGGGGAAAGGAAAACAGTAAGTAAAGATATACAACCATGTATTAGTTCCAAATAAATTCTGTAACCATGGAACTTTAGGAATCA